GTGTTATGCTCTTAGTCGGGTGTTAGTCGGGACTTTCTGCTTAGTCGGGTGTTATGTTCTTAGTCGGGTGTTATGTTCTTAGTCGGGTGTTATGCTCTTAGTCGGGTGTTATGCTCTTAGTCGGGTGTTAGTCGGGACTTTCTGCTTAGTCGGGTGTTATGTTCTTAGTCGGGTGTTATGCTCTTAGTCGGATGTTATGCTCTTAGTCGGGTGTTATGCTCTTAGTCGGGTGTTATGCTCTTAGTCGGGTGTTATGCTCTTAGTCGGGTGTTAGTCGGGACTTTCTGCTTAGTCGGGTGTTATGTTCTTAGTCGGGTGTTATGCTCTTAGTCGGGTGTTATGCTCTTAGTCGGGTGTTATGCTCTTAGTCGGGTGTTATACTCTTAGTCGGGTGTTATGCTCTTAGTCGGGTGTTATGTTCTTAGTCGGGTGTTATGTTCTTAGTCGGGTGTTATGCTCTTAGTCGGGTGTTATGCTCTTAGTCGGGTGTTATGCTCTTAGTCGGGTGTTATGCTCTTAGTCGGGTGTTATGCTCTTAGTCGGGTGTTATGCTCTTAGTCGGGTGTTATGCTCTTAGTCGGGGCTTTCTGCTTAGTCGGGTGTTTTTCTGAGTCAGCAGGCTCAAATCGTGGGGGTGGCAGCCAGTCACGGACAGCATTGTGTGTAACTCGTGAGTTATTCATTTGGAATCCTGATGAGGCTGCATGTGGGGACTTCCATCTTCGAGCAACACAGAAACACATAACTTCTTCCTGTTGAAAGTGGATGTCATTTATTTTATCCATCCATCCATCCATCCATCCATCCATCCATCCATCCATCCATCCATCCATCCATCCATCCATCCATCCATCCATCCATCCATCCATCCATCCATCATGCTGTTTTAGATTACCTGAAACTGTAATCAACAAGTCCTATAAGAATTCAGTTTCTGCTCCACATGTTCACTCCAGATGTTCTGTGGAGGAGGCGCTGCACACCCAATACACATGAATGGGAAATGTGACGCCATTTGGAGAAATCTGAAGTGTTCCGGATGATGATGGTAAAAATGTTATTAATTCTGGATTGTTGATTCAGTAACACTTTATAAAAAGGGTTCATTTATTAACATTACTTAGTGCCTTATTACGTGTTAATAAACTATAAAAGAAACTGCTTAAAACAGGGACAGCAGCAGCACAAGAGACAGAGTGGGTTGTCTAGTTTATGTTCATGTATTTAGCAGACATGTTTGTCCAAAATGATAACGAAGCCAGTCCAGTAATCAGAAAGTTTTTCGATCCCGGCTCCGATCAGAGAATGCTGTGTGTGGTGTTTGGAGGGATCGGTGGCGCCTGTGCACAGCAGATTAACCTCCGTCAGCACACCCCGGGGCAGCTGCGGCTGCGTGTGAATAGTTGGATGACTGATTGCTTTGTAAGGTGCCTTGGGAAGATGTAGAGCCCTAAGAAGGCACTACAAACCCGGCCATTTACCAAAATTAATGTTAGTATTAAGTAACTAAGCATTCTGTAGTTGCAGCTACCACCTCTGAACACTAGATGTCGCCAGAGCGCTCCTGTTCCATATTCAACATAGTTAATATCAGGAACATGAATGTTTGATTTATTAATGCTTAATAATGCACTAAGTGCTGCCATTAAACGGACCCTGATTGTAAAGTGTTACCATCAGTTTTATTAGGAAGAACAGATTTCTAGGATGCAGATCCAGGCTGTGTAATAACAGCAAACTGCTCCTCGTCGTTCCATCTGCTGCGCCACGTTCTGTTTCTGCAGCATGAAGAAAACTGAGCGGTGTTAGTGAAGAAGATCAAAGTAAAGATGCCAGTGAAAGGTCAAGAGTGGTGAATGTAATATGTGTGAATGCTGTTGGAACCTTTGTGGACATCTTTCCATAAGTGTGATGAGATCAGCGATGAGAACGCCTCTCGAGATAAAAGTCACGAAGCTCTTCACAAGAACAAAACAAAAAATAAATAAAAATAGCAAGAATAGAAACGGATTAAATGTGTATTAAAATTGGGAGACGCAAAATCGGTGATAAAAAGTAAGGAAAGAGGAAGAGAAAGTGAACAAGAAACGGGTCATCAGTGGATCAGGAAAGGCAGAACTGGCAGGAGGATCTGAATGAGGAGACGGTAATGATGGAGAAACTACAGACGGTCACACAAACGCACCTGAACAGGTGAGTTCTGCCTTTATTTCTGTGTTGTTAACAGATTGTAGAGGATGAGCTGATGTCTGGGACAAGGCCAGCTAAGTTAGTCTGACTCCTGACGACACCTGAAGGCTACGTCTGCCTGATGGGCTTCCAGAAACGTGTGGTTCAAAGGGAAGTCTCAGCCTGCAGGACCAAGATTGTGATGCACCCGTCATCCTGACATCTATCGAAGAACTTGACAGCTTTGCCACTGTCAGAGTTGAGAAGATAACCTGACACTCTGTGATGAGCAGAAGTCTCCACCAGATCCCAGATGTGGCCCAGATGTTCCAATACCAACGTTCCCCCATGACCCAGATCTACAGCTGGAAAAGAGAAGAACACTGTTTAGATCCAACAGGACAACGTTCAGAAACAAAGTCAGACGTTCGGTTTGATCACTTTTGACTTTTCTGTGGAAAACCTCAGCTCTTTAGCAGAGTTTGGTTTTGGGTGCATTAAGGGTGTCTGTCATAATAAATGTTGTGGTTCACATTCGCCTATTTTATCCAGTTGATTGTTACAAAATCTAGATTTACTGAAAATAAATGCTGTGTTTTCTAAAACCGTGGCTTATTGTAGTAAATGTATAGACTCAAATGTATGTTTGTGACTATTTATTTATTAATTAACATTTTAATGAGGACAAATGAAACAAATCTCCAAGTTTGTGAGTTGAAGTGGAACTTTGTTGCTCTAACTGAAATCTAAAAGTTAAAATATCTTAAAAATATAACATTTATAACAAATTAGAGAATTTCTCATAAGTTGGTTCAAAGGCAGATTTTTCCTAGTGACCAGCAGTGCGGAGAGGTTTAGTCATAGGCGTCATTTTAACCGGGGACGCCGGGGACATGTCCCCGGCAAAATTTGTGATTGGCAGCTGTGTCCCCCCCACTTTCAAAAACGCCTGCTGATGAGGATTTTTGTTTTACCAGCTCAGATCTTATACCGGGGTCGGCAACCTGTTCCCATCAAAGAGCCATTATTACCCGTTTCCCACGGTAATTTTGGACGGACCTTAATAAGCAGTGACTTAAGTGAAGCAGGCAGGTCGAGCTAGAAAATTTAGTTTAAAAAGACGTCATAAATGTTTTCCCCCGTCCTTTTTATTTATAAAATATGAAGTAAAAACTCACAATTTAATTTTCATTCATTTGTCATTAATATGTAGTCTACACCCGTGCGTTAAGTGGACCATCTTCCAGTAAACGCACAGCATCCAGCCCACCTCTCCAAATGCGTAATATGTGCATCAGCCGCTTAGGCGCGTCGCGCGCACCGTCAGCTACGTCAGCCCAGACAAGAGCAGAGCAACTAGAGAAAGAATAGAGGATAATTGTGTCTGGATGTGGATGGAGATTACATTTTACAGCAGCCTGATCATCATTTAAATACGTAACCATCACCTGGCTTCTAGTCCACGCTATCAGCATTATTTTAATTGGTGTGTGTGTGTGTGTGTGTGTGTGTGTGTTTTCCACTTCAAACACTGGTCTAACCAACCAGACCAGCGTACCCAGTAACACATTAATGTTACAATTAAACAGTTTCCCTTCATGTAGGCTAGGAACATTCCACCTGCCGTGGCCCGACCGCTTCTGCTCCACATAAACTTTGTGCGTGATCAAATGTCTCTACGCATCATGCGTTTCCATTAGAGACGGGAACAAGCGCTGTTCAGCCAAAGTTTCATAATTTCATAAAAAGAACATTTTTCCAAGTGACACATCCCTCAGAGAGACCGGGTTTCCAGACTGTTTCAGTGGGAGGAAATCATCGCATGCACCGTGGTTCTGCACTGCGAACCCCAGATCTTCAGCTCACTGTCCACCGTGGGCGCTCCGAGCCACGCTGAACACAGTGTTCAGTATAAAGCTCTGATGTTCTGATGGGAATATTTTACCTCCGCGATGTGCGTTAACGATTAAAATGTCAGCTCATCCATGTATCAGTGTGCGTCGGGGTAATTCTTTCAAACCAAGCAACATCCTTGAGTTCATCTGTCAAAATAAACAGTCAAATGGAAATATCTGTAACCTGCCGTTTAACTGTTTTGCCTTCTTGTGAAGATTGTTGCAAAGAGAAACAATTAAACTTGATTAACCCCAGAGCCACCCAGAGAACCAGAGCGCATGCGGGAAGATTCCTCCCACTGAAGCGAGTGTTTTCCAAACCCGGTCTCTCAGAGAGACTTGCCACTTAGAAAATGTTCCCTGATGATGAAACTTTGGCTGAATAGCGCTTGTTCCTGTCTCCAATGTGGCGACACATCCAGGAGCCGTCTGAGGAGAATCCCAGAATCTCGTCAGCTCAGGAAGCGCCTATGATTACGCACAAGCATGACGCGTCAACCCGGTCTCACAGTAAGACCGGGTTGGAGCTGTTCAGGTTTACGCAGACAATCTTTACATTTAGAATTGACATACAGATGTAAAATTAATGCAGTAAAATATAAAGCATTTTATTTAAATATCCATTCATTATTTTACAAACACAGAGAGCCGCATCAGATGGATGGAAGAGCCGCATGCGGCTCCAGTGCCGCCGACCCCTGTGCTAGCCTACTTTATTGTCCCCAGCAATTTTTAAACCCCACTCAAGTGTATGGTTATTGTCCCCAGCAATTCTGAAAACAAACTGACGCCCTTGGGTTTAGTAGACCCTTAAGGTTGGTTTATGCTTGACGCGTCCGCAAGGTTTGCACGGCTCCGTGCGGAAAAGTTGCGTAATTTTAACAACCACGCCCCTCCACTGCGTCTCCGCACGGCCCAAAATTTCAGCTACGCACACCTAGGAAATTTTCTAACCACGCGGACGGTCGGACGCGGAAAAACATGGCGGACCGGCAAGAACTAGTATGGCAGAGGTTGGTAAATACAGACATGTGTATGATTCAGCTCTCAGAGATCACCGTGATCAACATGTTGTTAATAATTCTTGGAGAGAAATAGCTCGCACTGTCGGAAAAGACGAGGACGCTGTTAAAAATGCTGGAATGCCATGTTGTAAACAGTAATCTTTACTTCTACTATGGTGTAGTGTTGGATGTATGCTGTAGAGCTCCATGCTGCCCCCTACAGTTTGGGAGAATATTGGCTCACCGCAGAGACGAGCCGCATGAACCATAAACGCTGCGAGTTGTGAAGCGCGTTCCATCCGCGAGCCGCATCACCAAGCGGAAAGTGAACGCGTCAAGCATAAACCAAGCTTTAGGAAGAAAGCTGAGAGGCAATCATCATGGCTGCACAGGAGCAGGCCCTGATCACCATGGCAACAGAGGCCAGGATCTACCACAGCAGGGGGCGGGGCCCTCGGGGCAGGAAGGATGAGACCATGGGAATGTTTTTACATCTAAATGTAAAATATGCCACAGGCAGCTGCATTATTAGATGAGAACATTTTATTTAATTTCAGGAACACAAATTTTCACAATTATTATAAAAAATAAACCTTCAGGTGCCTTCAAACAGGGTCCCAACACCTCCATAACTCCATTTTTCTTCTGAGTAACAACTTCTGTATAAATACAAAATATCAAAGATAAAACCTTCAAAGATCAATAAGAATGAGTCGTTTAGCTGCTAGCATACGCTCCTGTAGGACCGGGTCACCAGGTAAACGCAGCTTTCACTCTTTCACCTAAAACCATTTTCACCAAATCAGAGGTCGTTATGACCGGACGAGTCGCCTACATTTCAGCAACACATGAATGACGGTATCGCTGTTGTGATTTTTTCATCCCGCGGGCTGACCCGGAGCAACGTGAACATCCACAGTAATAAAGGTGAACAGTACGTTCTTCGTGATCTCTGTGACCGAATACCTGAGCGAGCTGAGCCCGTCCTGATCCAAACCCGTTTTAGTTTCATACAGAACCTTAACATTCTTCAGGTTCTGCTCATTGTGGTGGTCTCTCTCGTGCCTAATCATCTTGTATCGTCCAATCACAGCGTCTGGTCGGGATATGGACTTTAAATGGAACATGACTCGTTTGTACATGTCGTCATCCTCACCGCCCCAGCCCCAGTAAGTGTTGGAGAAGCCATTCACCATCAAGAACTGTTCCTTTGAGAACGCCGTGACCCCCCCAAAAATCTGTTTATACGGTAACTCATAGTTAAACTTGTCTACAGCTACGGAAAAGTGTCTCGGGCGGTCAAAGCATCTGTAGAGGTTACGGTCGTCCAAAGGCACCATGTCTACGTCAGAAAAGATAAAGCAGCCGTAATCGTCTTCCTTCAGTGCTTCGACGTGTCCGGCATTCATCAGTTTAGCCTTGTTGAACTCCCCATCTCCATGCTGGTTGATGACGAAAACACCGTAGTGCAGCTGCTGCCGCTGCAGGATCGGGTGGAGGTAATAGATCCAGTGGGTCAGGTGGTCGTGGCGGTTTCTGAATGGAATGATGATGGCCACCTAAAAAACATCACCTGATATTATTGATATTTAGCAACAACATGATCGGCTGAACTAGATATTTCCATTTATCGGACTTTCTGGGAGAACGGCTGCAAGTCAGTAAAGTTTATTTCTAAACCAGCAGGTACAAATCACAAACGCTGCATAAAAACACCGAGTCTCAACACAAGGATGAACATCCGAGGCTAGGCAGCTGGCTAGCTGGAGAGGAAGGAAATGGGTTGGAGCTGGCAGCATGCATGAAGAGGTGGGAAACACGGAGTTAAAAAAGATCTGAAGAAAGTAAACCCTCCGTCAGGTTCTTCAGAAGGTTTGCTGTCCATGTCCAGCTGTCAGTTAAACCCATAAAGGCCTGCAGGTAAAATCAGCTAAAAGGACATCTGAGATTAGATTTAAATACAAGCGTGCAGCGCTAAACTAAAGCTAATCCGATTAGCTTCAGTCTAACGCTGCCGCACATTCATCACTTCTGCTCATTTTATATTTAAATCTGGCCTTCCATAAAAACAGCTCATCTGCTTCTCACCTACCTTCTGTTTTGAGATGCAGTCTGGAGGTTTGTATTGTCCTCCCCACTGAAGTGATGACCCAGCCTGCTTTCTGACGTCCTCCAGAGTCCGATTGGTTTCAAACTCCACCTGGAGTGGACCCAGAAGGCCTGGAGGGGTTTCTGGACACGACTCCAGAGGTTCTTCTCCAGCTGTTGACTTCACCTGGACCTCTGGTGATTTGTTCTTCTGTCCGCGTTCTTTAATCCTCCAGAAAAATCCAGTTTTTGTGTTTTCTGCTTGTCGTTCCTTAAATGAACCTGAAGGACAACCTCTGCGGTAAAATAAAAACATAGAAAAACACAAAACACAGAGAAGAGAATAAAGAACCAGGAAGCTGAAGACTTTTCTCTCCATTTCCTATCGGAGCGCTCTGAGCTCAACGGCTCAGCTGCAGTTTCAACCAAACCTGTAAAACCACCTTTAGCTTCACCTGGAGGTGGAGTTTGTCATCCTGATGGTTCAGGAGCTCCAGACTCACCTGGAGCCTCACGGATGCTGCTTCGTTCATTCACTCTAACACACGTTTATTCAGACCTGTGTGTATTTGATGTCCATGTGGAGCGTTTATAGCAGATCTTCATTTCTAACCTGGATCCGTGATTAAACAGGTTTTTTCCACAGGTGTGGGGTTGGTGCAGGATGGCTTCCTATTGGTGTTCAGGTGTTTGGGTGGGTGTGGTTAGTGGCACTGTTTTCACCATGTGTCATGTTCTGCGGGGGAGATGGCGGACCAAGTGTGGTGGACGGTTCAGGAGGCAGAAGAGCAGGCAAACGGATGAAAAAATAAAAATATGTTTAATTGTAGACTGGGAGCGACAGGACAAACGAACATGCACAAACGACAACGATCCGACAAAGACAGCAACAAGGAGGGAGGTATAAATACACAAGGGAATCAGGAACACATGGGCAGAGTAACGAGGGATAGGTGAGAACAATTAGGTTAATCAAGGCAGGAGAGACACAGTCAGGGAGGCCGGGGCGGATCATGACAGTACCCTCCCTCAAGGGGCGGATACCAGATGCCCACAAGCCACAAAACACAGGAGACTCGGGAAGGAACGAAGACCAGACTCGGGCACACATGACCAGGGAACAAAGAACACAGTCCAGGGCTGCGGAGCAGGGGCCTCTGGGAACAGGCGGCACAACTCCGACTTGAACACTCAACACCAGGAAACTCGAACACTTGACTTGACTCGAACACTTGACCACTTGACTCGACCACTTGACTCGACACCAGGAACACAAAGACAAACTGCAGCAGCAGGCGTGGGACCCAGCAGGAACTGCAGCAGCAGGCATAGGACCCAGCAGGAACTGCCGCGTGGAGGACCTGCAGGCACAGACCCCGCAGGCGTGGACCAGGAAATGGTTGAACAGCGGGAGTGACGCGAGGAAGCCCAGCTCGGTGGCAGGTACTCGACATCCAGTCAGAGCAGGTGCACATCCCGATTTGCTGGGTCCATCGGCGGAGGCTTGGGTGAAGGGAAGCAGGAGAAGAGCGGGGAGACCAGCCCTACCACCCCGGAGAACAATGGCGTGCGTAGGGGGTGTAATTCCCTTGAGGCTCCAGGATCCGCGGCTTCCAGGAGAAGAACGGAACGGGGCGAAACAGCAGGAGGAGAATGACCCTGATCACCCCGAAGACAAATAGGATGCGCCAGGATCTCCCAGAGGACTTCGACCACCCCGAGAACAGGTAGGATGCGCCGAAAACACAAAACTCCAGGCCAGAAATCTCCCTCTGCTGAAAGGGAAAAAAAAGAAAAATAATCCTCCAGAAGCAGAATGGTAAGCTCACCACAGGTCCAGGTTGGTCGGATCATTCTGTCATGTTCTGCGGGGGAGATGGCGGACCATGTGTGGTGGAGGATTCAGGAGGCAGAAGAGCAGGCAAACGGATGAAAAAATAAAAAGATGTTTAATTGTAGACTGGGAGCGACAGGACAAACGAACATGCACAAACGACAATGATCCGACAAAGACAACAACCAGGAGGGAGGTATAAATACACAAGGGAATCAGGAACACATGGGCAGAGCAATGAGGGACAGGTGAGAACAATAAGGTTAATCAAGGCAGGAGAGACACAGTCAGGGAGGCCGGGGCGGATCATGACACCATGTATGGATCAGATTTTTCACATTTTCCGTCATTCCTGACGTCCTGAATAATTTCCTGTACAAAATCATCGATTCAGTGACTAAATGTTGCAGGAGATCCATTTAGTCATGTTTTCACCTTAAATGCTGTCGGTTACTATGGAAACGTTCCTCCATCGAACCTTCACTGTTACAGAGTCTCTTTGTGGGGTGAAGTGGGAGGGGCTGCCATGAGCAACAACAACAACAAGGAAACGTTCTTTTATTGATGAAACTAACCTGGTTGGTTTATTTAACTGAGACGTGTCATCATGGCTTTGACGTTGGAACCAGGAGGAACAGAGCGGGACTGGACGCCGTCTGGCGACAGATTTCTGTAACGATCCAGGAATCTGAAGCTTCCAGATGTTTTACCAGCCTGAGCATCACAACCATCTGGCAGAACACGGTGTCTTTAATCTCTAATGTCGGTTCAGACCTTAGAGTCTTCCTTTATTCTGGTTTACATGACCAGTCAGCTGACACCCTGCAGTGCATTGTGGGTAAACCAGATGTTCCAGAGGTCCAGGGCTGAACTGGGACAAAAACAGCAGCTCTGGTTTTTCCACCAGTTACTGACGGAACAACATGAAGCCTGTTTGTCACACCAGCTCTCCAACCCTGGTCCTGTATTTCATATCATAATGTTTTAGTTGTTTCCCTGCTCCAGCACCTAACAAGACAACAAAACATCAACAGGCCAGGAAAAACCACTGATATCTGCTGCTAGTGCTAAACACACACACACACACACACACACACACACACACACACACACACACACACACACACACACACACACACACACACTTGCTTCTATACACTCTCATCACCTGTAGGTGCATGAAGCGTTGGATGTTTACTGTGACTTGAACTAGAAACTGAAGCTGCAACTCGGAGCAGGAACAGGGCTGATATGATGAACCGGCTTTGCTTCTCAAAGCCCTTTTGGGTCACATTGAATGTTTTCTGTGAATCTGTCCTCAGATCTGCAGTCTCTCTGAGTACCGTATCTCTGTGGTCGTTGTCGTTCTCGGCTCCATCCGATCACTGCTCATAAATGCTTTTATCATTTTTATTTCCTTTGTCGTGATCGCTCTGCTGCTTAACAGCTGACAGCGGCAAATAAAACATGCTTATGTCGCACCTCAGAGCCTGGATTTCCGTCTCTGTTGCCATGGTTACTTGTAAAACTCTGCTACAGTTTTTTTGGATTGCTTACACACTAAAATTAAAAGTCGTACACAATTAGCAAAACTTTACAGTCAAGAAGCCCATATTTGCACAACTGTCAACCTCACACTTGTTGCAAAACACTAAACACACTTATCATACATCACACACACACAATCTACCATGAAGTCACTTCCTTGCAATACCAAAGCACTGACTGTCAAATTACCGCACCGTCCGACCAACTGGTTCAACACAGTCATCAGGTGTGCAAACACTTGTTTGCTTAATTGTAGACTCACCAATCAGGTGTGTAAGCACTATAAAAAGCAGCAGGTGAGTTCGGTCTTCAAGCACAATGGAAAGAGTCAGAGAAAGAGTAAGACGACAACGAGGAGGAGGACGAGAAGGAGGAGGAGGAAGAGGAAGACAAGAAGGTGCTCAAAGAGGACTGAATCTGACAAATGAGATCCGCGCAACACTGGTTGACCACGTTGTCGCCCACGGCCTGACGCCGAGGGAGGCTGGACTGCGAGTACAGCCAAAAGCCGATACACAGCGGCAAGTGTGATAAGAACACTTGGGCTTGAAAATAGGTACCGTACAAATATCCTCATATCAAAAACATCTGCACGGTTTCAGTAACTGCTTTATAGTACTGTATTCTATGCAGTTTCAGCGCCTCTGCAGCCACAGGGCTATGGTCTATGTCCCAGGGCAACGTGGGGGAAGTATAACACTCAGTGCAGCCATTACACAGGATGGGGTCCTCCACCGCCATGCCCATATGGGCCCTTACAACACAGCACTCATACATTCTTGGACCAATTACACAACGTAACAGCAGCAAATCAAATCGATCATAAGCAATACATTTTTGTCTGGGACGGGTTTCAGCAACATCCACATTTCACCGTCCTACATCTTCCACCATACTCTCCATTCCTCAGCCCTATAGAAGAGTTTTTCTCGGCATGGCGGTGGAAGGTATATGATCTCCGTCTCCAGGCTGAGGTACCCCTCATCAAAGCCATGGAGGAGGCCTGTGACCAGATGGAGGTAGCAGCAATACAAGGATGGATTCGTCATTCACGACGTTTCTTTCCAAGATGTCTTGCTAAGGACAACATTGCTTGAGATGTTGATGAAATTCTCTGGCCGGATCCAGCGAGGCCAGTGGGTTGTTTTTGGTAACAGTGAACTTACAGTACAATACGTAAAGTGACATGTTGTTACAGTACCATGAATCTCCATGTCAACATTTTGGGGATGTTGAGAAATAAATGAGTGTCTTCAGTGTGCAGCATTGGTCTTGTGTGGTGTTTGGTGGATTTATTTTATATTTGTACTTTGTTGATGGTAGCCTGCTCTAATCACAGGGAAGTAGAAGTGCTAAAAGTGTTGTAGGTTTATCACAGCAGAGAGTAACTCGTGCAGAGTGTGGTAAATGTGAAACGTGTGTTTGTTATGGTAAAAAAGTGTGGTATTTAAACATACGTGTATAGTTTTTACAAGTGTTCAATCATGCAAAGGGTCTGTGGTGGTTTGCTCATTGGGTGTGTGTTTGTGCTAATTGTGTGCACTGTTCTGAAAATCGTGCTTAAGCAATCCGAAAAAACTGTGAGAAGGTTTATTTATGTGCACACTATTCATGACTAATGTGGGTGTGACCCAGAAACACCTGAGCTCATTCGTAGGACAGGTGTGATTTATAAAGCAGGAACTGCTGCAGACGAGTGTTTTAGAGGTCAGATAATTAGTGTGTGTGTGTGTGTGTGTGTGTGTGTGTTTAATGTTTCTTTCTAAATAAAAGAATGAAAGGGAGCCAGCATTAGTTTTTATTTTTATTTCTACATTTCCCAGAAGGACTAAACACGAACGAACCTGCAGGTTTATGTTTTCTCTGGAGCAGATCTTTGGTCATCTTGTTTTGATTGAACAGGTTTGCTCTTCATGTGCACCAAACAAACCAGTTGGACCATTTTATATTAAACTTCCTTCTCTGTTCTGCCGTTTGGCTGCTGATAGCCTGATGATGATGGAATGGCTACCATCAAGTCTTTAGTGTCTTTGGCTGTGGAACCAGCTCCCAGCTTTAGTCCGTGAGGCAGACACTTTGTCTACTTTTAAGAATAGGCTTAAAACATTTTATTTGATAGGGCCTATGGTTAAAATCTGATGTTAGCCTAAATCTGGACAAGTGGGGGAATAGAGGGAGGTGGAGTGTACAGTCGGTAAAGACGGCTCTCCCTTGCCCTGCCTCCAACACGCCTACATCTAAAAGGTTAGGTTATCCAGAGTTAACTCTGTAGTTATGCTGCTATAGGCTTAGACTGCTGGAGGATACACTGACCACTTTCCACACTCTACTGCTTTCTTCTACAGTCTGCTCTTTAACTGTATTATTTCCTGCTATTTCAGCTGTTAACTTTATTTTCTCTGTAAGTGTTTTTCTCCCCAGAAGAAGCTACAACGATGTTCTGCTGAGCTGTGGTGGCCTCATGGAGGGGGCCATCGTCTAGCACACTGCTGCTAACCACTTAAACATTCTCTCTCTCCTGATAATAACTTTTTATTCTCTTTGACGTTGGATGTGCTACTACTAGTTTACCCGTTTAATTATAGATCCACTAGGATAAATACAATAAAGTTTATCTTTCACCAAATAGAATATTTACTAAGAAATCACAATATAACCATAGACACATTACTTGGTGTGTGTGTGTGTGTGTGTGCGTGTGTGTCCTGCCCAGTT